AGCGGGGGGGGGGGCCCTCTCCAGGGGGGGGGTTTAACCTAGGTGCTCTAGCGTACCTGGAGTGAGGTTTTCCCAGAGGTTCACAACAGCGCGTGCAGAGACCAGCTGCACAGCCACCAGTTTAAAAAGAAACAGCAACGACAAAATAAATAAAAAGTCAACCCCTCCTATTACGATGAGAATGAAATATGTATTCTTCAGGTCTCGGCCTGCTTCAGAACCCTCTAAAAACTGAAGCAAACATTTAAAAGGGCTTATTAACTTTCTGCAAGGGGCAAAAGTGATGTGGCAACGAGGGGTGGGAGATCACACGCCTGCTGCCCATCGCACCGAGGGTCAGGACAGCACGAAGGCCCCCATTTAAAGTGCCAACCATACAAAAGAAGAAGATGGAGGAGCAACATCCTTCTCCCCCTTTTTCCATCACAATTTCCAACTGAACCCCATCTCCTTCAACAAGTCACAATTAAGCCTATTCTTCTGGACATTCACTCAGTTTATACTGGTTTTAAAAAAAAGGTTAGTAAAAAAGTTACATTGAATTTCCCAACTCTTTGCAACGGGCTTCCACCAACTCAAGGTCCAGAAACTGGGAGAGCAGAGCCTACGCGTTTCGCCTGGCCCCGAGGCTGGAGCAGAGATCCAGCTCTGCTCCCAGGGCCAGCCAGGCGTGAGCAGCCCTGCTCGCCAGCATCAGAGACCCAGGGGATGCAGAGTCTTGCCAATAAGGTCCTTTTACTTGTTTAAGCCACCTCTGAATCCCCCTGAGAAGGGGAACAATGTGGGGAAGAACGTCCCCCCCCCTCAACCCCCCAGGAATAAAATATCAATGAAACAATAATGCAGTCAAAAAAACACCAGCCTGCTGGGTTTATAAAAAAAAAAAAATTCAATAAACTTCAACGACAAAAAAAAAACCCCAAAGGAAACTAGCCAGCGGTTTGGGTCTGGAAACTGATTCACTTCTTAAATGTTCAAAGTCCAACAAGGACCAGACGGCAGCGGTGCCACAAGGAAAAAAGTGCTCGCGAGACGCAGCTTCCCGAGAGGCGGCAGCGAGTCTGCGGGACAAACGACCCCACTTCCATCACCACCGCCTCGCACGCCCACCACCGGCCGGGGACTGATGCCCACGGGGCATCGCTCGTGATGGACGCGCAGCGGGAGCTCTGCGTGGGATCTAGAAATAGGAACAGACTGCTCCTTCCCTCCTCTGGGTCTGCTCTGTGTGCTCCAGCCCCGGCTGTGCTGCACCGGGCTGAATGACTAGGGCTGCTTTCTTATTCAAAACGAGGGGCAGGAGAGCTAAAAAGCTACATAAAGACCAGGATCTGTGGAGTCAATAATACCGCGGAGACAAGGAAGAGATACCCTATGAGACACAGTTATCAAAAACACAAGCAGTGATGTGCCAGGCCACTGGAAGAGAAGCCAGAGACATGCCCAGGTTGGCCACAGCTAAGCGGTCGAGCAGGTTACGCCTCTGCCAGCCTGGGAAGATAAGACCAGCTTTCTGAGAAGCCCAACTGCTCCTCCTCTTGCTTCGCTGGAAAGTGATTCCTCCCTCCGTCCCACCGGGGATTTCGTGACATGCCGAGCTGCCAGCGCCTTGGAGCAGCCGACTCTTGCCAATGGGAGCCCAGAAGAAAGCCCCGGGTTCCCAACTGCTCTGACAGTGACTGCCATTG